AGGCGGAGCTTGCAGTGAGCTGAGATCCGGCCACTGCAGTCCAGCCCGGGCTACAGAGCAAGACTCCGTCTCAAAAAAAAAAAAAAAAAAAAAAGAAAAAAAAATCCATCTTTTAGGGTTGAATTGATGTACACTGACTTATGTATTTTATGTCTTTGCCCATAACCGCTGCCTCCCTGGCATGTACAAAACCAAATTTCTAATCTGACGACTTCAGCATCACACACTTGAGGCTTCCTGGGCTTGTTTTTCCTGGGCTGCAGCTGCTCATATTGGCTCAGAAGAAACCTCTTGGAAATATTTCACAGAGGCCAGGCGCGGTGGCTCACAGCTGTCGTCCCAGCGCTTTGGGAGGCCGAGGCTGGGCGGATCACCTGAGGTCAGGAGTTCGAGACCAGCCTGACCAATATGGTGAAACCCTGTCTCTAGTAAAAACGCAAAATTAGCCGGGCATGGTGGCACACGCCTGCAATCCCAGCTACTCAGGAGGCTGAGGCAGGAGAATCGCTTGAGCCTGGAAGGCGGAGGTAGCAGTAAGCTGAGATGGTGCCACTGCACTCCAGCCTGGGTGACAGAGCAAGATCCCATCTCAAAAAAAATTTTTTTTCCATAGTCTGTTTTTTTCCATGAATAATTGGATGGATAGACCACGTTGTGTTTGTCCGTCCATCGGTTGATGGACACGGGCTGTTTCTGCCTTGGCCATTGTGAATACTGCTGCTGGGAGCATGGGTGTGTGAGGATGTGTTCAAGTTCCTGTTTTTTTATTCTTTTGTTTTTTATTCTTTTGTTTTGCTGGAATTGCTGGGTCATGTGGTCATTCTGTGTTTAACTTTTTGCAGAACCACCAAGCTGTTCTCCACAGAGGCCACACCCTCTGACCTGCCCACCAGCAGCACATGGGGGTTCCTGTCCCTCCACATCCTCATCAGGGCTTGTTAAGCTACGAATGTTTATTTTTTGAGACGGAGTCTTGCTCTGTCACTCAGGCTGGAGTGCAATGGCACGATCTCGGCTCACTGCAACCTCCGTCTCCCGGGTTCAAGCGATTCTCCTGACTCAGTGTCCCGAGTAGCTGGGATTACAGGCGCCCGCCACCACAGCCGGCTAATTTTTGTATTGTTAGTAGAGATGGGATTTTATCATGTTGGCCGGGCTAGTCTCAAACTCCTGACCTCAAGTGATCCACCTGCCTCGGCCTCCCAAAGTGCTGGGATTACAGGCGTGAGCCACTGTGCCTGGCCTAATTTTTGTATTTTTAATAGAGACAGGGTTTTGCCATGTTGTTCAGGCTGGTCTCAAACTCCTGACCTCAGGTGATCCACCCGCCTCTGTCTCCCAAAGTGCTGGGATTACAGGCATAGCCACTGGGCCTGACTGTTATTTATTTTTTAATCAGTTTTATTGTGTTAAACTTATGTACAATAAATGCATCCATTTAAAGTATATCATTCAAGGCTGGGTGTGCTGGCTCTCATCTATAATCCTAGCACTTTGTGAGGCCAAGATGGGTGTATCGTTTGAGCCTAGGAGTTCAAGACCAGCCTGGGCAACATAGCGAGACCCCATCTCTGCAAAAATGAGCCAGGTACAGTGGCATGCACCTGTCATCCCAGCTACTTGGGAGGTGGAGGTGGGAGGATCACCTGAGCCCAGGAGGTTGAAGCTACAGTGAGCCGTGATTGTGCCCCTGCACTCCAGCCTGGGCGACAGAGCAAGACCCTGCCTCCAAAGAAGAAAATAAAGCATATAATTCAAACAGTCCTGGGAGTTATACACACCCAGGAATCCGTCACCACAATCAAGACACAGAGCATCTTCCTCACCTTCCAGAGACTTCCTAGGGTCTCTCTGGTCCGTTCCTCTCTCCTGCTCCTGTTGAGTAGGAGTCCTTCATTCTGACGAAGTTGCCCAGCCCCAGGCAGCCATTGATCTGCTTCTTGTCAGAACAGATGAGCTTGCCTTTGACATTTTTATATAAGAGGAATCATACATCGTGTACTCTGAGTCTGCCTCTTTCATTGAGCATAATTTTGAAATTCATTCTTTTTTTTGTGTACGAAGCAGTATTTCCCTTTTTATCATTGGGCAGTACACCACAGTGTTAATATGCCATATTTCGTTTTTTCATCTATTGACAGAAGTGTGTGTATATATATATATATATTTTTTTTTTTTAAAACATTTTTGGCTATCGTGAATGGAGCTGCTATGGATATTCATGCATAAGTCTTACTGTGAACACGTTTTCATTTCTCCCGGGACATTCCTTAGGATTGGAATAGCTAAGTGGCAGGGTTAGGTATAAGTTTAACTTCTCAAGAAAGTGCCAAAGAAAACTGCCTGTATCGATTTGCACTCCCACCAGCAGCCTCTGAGAGTTCCGGTTGCTCCACTTCCTTGCCAACACTTGTCATTGTCAGTCCTTTTAAATTTAGCCATTTTGGTGGGTGTGTAACGCACGGTGTCGCACTGTGGATTTCTCACCGTGGTTGGAATTTGCATTTCCTTAATGAGTCATGTCTAGTGGGTGTGTAGTGAGCGATATCTCCTTGTGGATTTCATTTGCCTTTAATGAGTAATGACAACGATGAGCCCCTTTTCACATTCAGATTGATCGTGTGTTGTGTATTTTTTGAGACAGGGTTTTCACCCAGGGCGTGGTCATAGCTCACTGCAGCCTCAAACTGGCCTCTAGCTATCCTCCCACCTCAGCCTCCCAAGTAGATGGGACTACAGGCCTGCACCACCATGCCTGGCTAGTTTTTAAATGTTTGGCAGAGATGGGGTCCCATGATGTCATCCAGGTTGGCGTGCAGTGGCGTGGTCATAGCTTACAGCAGCCTCAAACTCCTGGCTCAAGTGATCCTGCCACCTCAGCCTCCTAAAGTGCTGGGACTAAGTTACCACCAGCATAAGTCACCACCACACCTGGCTTTTGTATCTTTTTGTGTGCGTGTGAAGTGTCTGTTTAAATCTTTTGCCCGTTTTAAAATAACAGCTTTACTGAGAGAGAATCCACACCATACAGCTCACCCCTTTACCCATTTGAAGTACCATTCAGGCCTAGCGTGGTGACTTCGGCCTGTCATCCCAGCACTGGGAGACCAAGGTGGATGGATCATCTGAGGTCAGGAGTTCAAGACCAGTCTGACCAACATGATGAAACACCGTCTCTACTAAAAATACAAAAATGAGCCGGGCGTGGTGGCAGTCGCCTGTAATCCCAGCTATTCGGGTGGCTGAGGCAGGAGAATCGCTTGAACCCAGGAGGTGGAGGTCGCAGTGAACCGAGATCACGTCACTGCACTCCAGCCTGGGCAACAGAGCGAGACTCATCTCAAAAAAGAAAAGAGGCCAGGCGCGGTGGCTCACGCCTGTAATCCCAGTACTTTGGGAGGCCGAGGCGGGCCGATCACAAGGTCAGGAGATCGAGACCATCCTGGCTAACATGGTGAAACCCTGTCTCAACGAAAAATACAAAAAACTAGCTGGGCGTGGTGGTGGGTGCCTGTAGTCCCAGCTACTCTGGAGGCTGAGGCAGGAGAATGGCGTGAACCCGGGAGGCGGAGCTTGCAGTGAGCCAAGATGGCGCCACTGCATTCCAGTCTGGGAGACCAGCGAGACTCTGTCTCAAAAAAAAAAGGACAGAAACGCCATACACCTCGGCAGTCAGTCCCCCTTCCTGGTCTCCCTCCCCCAGGTCCTACGAAACCACTCGTGTACTTTCTGTCTCTCTAAATTGACCCGCTTTGGACGTTTCGTCTAAAGGGACTCGAACAACGTGTCGTCCTGGCATCTGGTTTCTTTCACTTCGTGTGATGTTTCCAGGCCCAGCCACGTTGCAGCGCGTATGGCCTGTGTTTTACGGGACTGTCTGTCTTATCGTTGAACCGCAAATGTTCCTTGTAAATTCTGGGTATATGTCCTGCACATATTTCTCTTATTCTGTGGCTTGGCTCTTTGTTTTCTTAATGGCATCATTCAAAGAGCAGAAGCGTCAGTCCTGGTTTCCGCCTTCTGTCTTCCATCTAACAGGTCTCTGCCTATTCCAGGCCCACAGACACTTTCTCTTGAATTTCCTTCCAGGCCCACAGACACTTTCTCTTGAATTTCCTTCCAAAGGTTTTATAGTTGAAGCTTTTATACGCAGGTCTATGGTTTGCTTTGAGTAAATTTTGCGTATAATATGAGGTGCAGGAATCTATGTTCTTTCAATCACATAGATATGGCCCAGTGCGGTGGCTCACGTCTGTAATGCCAGCACTTTGGGAGGCCGAGGCAGGTGGATCACGAGGTCAGGAGATCGAGACCATCCTGGCTAACATGGTGAAATCCCGTCTCTACTAAAAATACAGACCAAAAACATTAGCCGGGTGTAGTGGCGGCGCCTGTGGTCCCAGCTACTCGGGAGGCTGAGGCAGGAGAATGGCGTGAACCCGGTAGGCGGAGGTTGCAGTGAGCCAAGATCGCGCCACTGCACTCCAGCCAGGGGGACACAGCAAGAGACTCCATCTCAAAAAAAAAAAAAAAATCACATAGATATTCCCATTTTTTCCTCTTTCTTTTTTTTTCCACTAGAGATAGGGTTTCATCATGTTGGCCAGGATGGTCTTGATCTCTTGACTTTATGATCCGCCTCAGTCTCCCAAAGTGCTGGGATTACAGGCGTAAGCCACCATGCCCAGCCTTTTTTTTTGAGACGGAGTCTCACTCTGTCACCTAGGCTGGAGTGCAGTGGCACGATCTCAACTCACTGCAACCCCCACCTCCGGGGTTCAAGTGATTCTCCTGCCTCAGCCTTCCGAGTAGCTGGGATTACAGGCATGCGCCACCATTCCCAATTAATTTTCATATTTTTAGTAGAGATGGGGTTTTTCCATGTTGGTCAGGCTGGTCTCAAACTCCTGACGTCAGGTGATGCGCCCATCTCGGCCTCCCAAAGTGCTGGGATTACAGGCATGAGCCACCACACACAGCCTTGTTTAAAAATTCTTTATAGAGATGAGGTGTCACTACGTTGCCCAGGTTGGTCTTGAACTTCTGGCCTCAACTGACCCTCCCACGTCGGCCTCCCACGGTGCTGGTTGAAGGGTGAGCCCAGGGTGGCCACAGCACATTTTCATCATTGTCTGCAGCTTGCAGTCTGCTGGTTCAGGGCTCAGCCGGGCACGTGGGCCCCTCCTTGGCTCCTCCAGCTCAGGCCTCCCCTCGAGCTCTGGGCCCTGGGTATTCTGGGCTCCTTCCTTGGTTTCCTTTGGCCTTTGGCCAGGAAAGTGGTGGGTGTCCGAGGGAGCCTGGGCCACTTCACAGCACCGCAGCCGACCTGCGGCTCCTTCAGGGCAAAGCTGCATGGACACAAAGAGAACGCCCCTCCGAGCTGGCCTCTCCCTTTACCTGTCAGTTCCCTCCCAAGCCGGCTGCCTTCTGTCCCCTCCCCAGAGCCTTGGGTAACTGGTTTGCTACAGTGTGTCTGGAATTTTTCAGTTCTCTGTGGAAGGGAGTTTTTTAAAGGTCCTTAATCCCCTCTTGACATTTGTAAGTTGACGCTTACACCCGGTAGCCTTGCTGAATTCTGTGTGCGCGAAGGTCAGTTTCCACCGCGAGTCACAATAGAAAACCCACTCCGTGAAAAAAGACCCGAGAGGACCGCTGCCCACACCTCCGTTCAGCAAACAAACCTTTGCAGGTGTTCATAGCAGAGGCAGATTCCACGCTGGGAATAAGAGCTCACGACATTCTGGGAGGGGTTTCAGGGGCAGGGAGGGGGCCTCTGTGGCCCCAGGTCAGGAGCAGCTCTTCCCTCAGCAGCCAGCAGCCAGTGCAGACTTGTGGTGAAGACAGCTCCCACTTTGCCAGGCCAGCAAGCACCGGGGGCAGCTCCGATCCAGGCGACCCCGCGGGAAGGGGTGTGCGTGTGCCTGGAGCTGGCCCCCGTCCTGCCTCCCTGACCCGTGCGCTCGTGCTCCCACAGACCTGAGACAGATGGCTCATAGCCTTGCGAGGCCCACACCGAACTGGGGTCAGGCTTGTGGCTCCCGGGAGTCCTGTGTGGGCTTTGTGGCCGCCATCCAGAGCCTGCTGACCTGCAACTGGGGGAGCGGGCACACTGATCCCTGGGTTTCACCACCCGAGAATCAGAGAGTGGGATCCCGTGAAACCTGAGCCCGGGCTCCCACCCACGCCCACCGAGGGCAGCTTTGCCTTCCTGGGCACCCCTCCTCCCCCAGGTGGCTGGGCCTGGCCCGCTGCCCGTCCAAGGCTCCTGCTCGGGGTCTCCACCCACACATTCCTGCGGCGTGAGGCTCCACCGCTCCCTCCTGCCCCGGGCAAAGCCATCATTTGTTCCCTTTGACAGCCCGGGAGGCTGCCAGGCTCTCCACCCCCACTTCCCAGTTGAGGAAACGGAGGCAGAGGCCTAGGTGTGGCCAATCACCCTGCATGTCAGAGTTACCCTGGGCAGGACCCACTGAGACCTGGGAGGGGCCACTTGGGACCTGGAGGGCTGGGGGCTGCCTGGGCGTTAGGGGTAAAGCTGCCTACCCAGAAGGCCTCGGAGGCCTGGGGCTGGGCTCCTCCTTTCACATCACCCTTTGGAGGACCACGTGTGGGCATTGGTCTGAGACCTGAAAGGGGCCGTCCTGTTCCCCGTGGGCGCTGCCAGCGCCACGCACTCCTCTTTCTGCCTGGCCACTCCCGTCTGCTGTGGACGCACCGGAGAGCTGCCGGCGGACCCACGGTGCCTCCCTCCCTGGGATCTGTAAGTAACAACCTCTGTGCTCTTTCTGTTGTGGTGTGGATGGAATGTGCACCTTCCATCTGGAGAACTGGGGCCGCTCCAGGCTGGGCTTCCAGCACCTGAGCGATGGTCAGGCTTCAGCAGGACACAGATTTCACCCCACAGGGCACACGCAGACCCATTTGTTGGGAAGCGGCAGTCCTAAGGGAGCGCAGGTGCCTCCATGTCCCCAGCCCAGCCCTCCTGCAGGTGTAAAGGATGCAGATTCCAGGGCCCGCCGTGGCCTGCAGAGGCCCCTCAGAGAAGGAAGGGCCGGGCTCCCGGGGAGCCCTAACCCCAGGTGCTGAGGTCCTTGGGTCACATGGAACTGAGGTGGGGACTGCCCAGGTCTGCTGTGATCCCATGGCCACATTTCCCGCCTGCCTTCACGCACCCCAAGGGCTGGGGGGGTCCCACCCACCACCCACCACCCACCACCCACTTTCTGGCTGGGGAGGTCTTTTTTCTTCCACTTTCTCAAGGTGTTCAGAGCCTCAGGGGCCTCCCCACTTCCTCTGGGGCCTGGGGGGAGTAGAATCCGTCACCAGGAGGCTCTGTGGCTCCCGAGGCCTTCCCCAGTGGCCGGGCTGATTAGGCAGGCTCTGCCTGTGGACAGGGGCAGCTGAGCATGAGTGTGTTACCCCCACTGCTGAGCTGTGGGTGGACCCACCAGGCCTGGGTCAAGGTTTTCAGGGGGCAGCTCTATTTTACCCAGCCATGGTGGCCTCCCTGAAAGGGGTGAGTGTAGGAGCTGGTTCCCTCTCCTGCGGGCCCCACCCCTACTCCAGGAGGACAATTCTTGTTCAGGGAGGGTCTCCCACTCACTTCCCCACCCCACACTGGCCCACAGGCCTCCGGGCCCCACCCTAGCGAGTACAAGGGGATCCCCAGGCTGCTCACTGGCCCAGCCCTGCCCACCTGGGCTGCACCTGAAAGTGGGCTCAGAGAGGCCGTGTGGCCCCAAGACGCTGGTGGGTAGGAAGAGGTGGTGGCCTTGTGCCCCCAGCGCCCCTCCTGCCCCAAGGGCGTTGTCTACCTGGCAGGGCCTGGGGTATTCACAAAGCCCAGGCACCTGCAGCTGAAGGCAGGGGAGGGGGGAGGGAGCCACATCCAGGCGAGGGGGCCGCTGGATACAACCCCATCCAGACCTGCTCGTCCTCCTTTGCGAGAGTGGGGAGACTCAGGCCAGCCTGAGTGGGCGGCGGCCCCAGCTGCTTGATCTAAGCTCTGCTTACACTGCCCTGCCCTTCCGGGAGAGGGTCAAGCGCCAACTGATGCCTGGGCTGTCTGGGCTGGGGACCGGGATCTCAGACCCAGCCCCTGCCCTGGACACGAGGAGTCAGTCGGGGGGACAGAGGGCTCGGTGACTGGAGGGCAAGGCCACGGCGCGGATGCAAGCTGCAGGTGCCACAGAAGTTTGCCCTGGGAGCCCAGGAGAGGCCCATGGGGCCCCAGGCTGGCCCGGGACAGAGGCATGGGGTGGGAGTGGGGGGCAGGGGATCCCATCCTGAGTCGCTGCCCTCTACAGAGACAGACCATGGCCTTGCCAACGGCTCGACCCCGGTTGGGGTCCTGTGGGACCTCCGCCCTTGGCAGCTTCCTGTTCCTGCTCTTCAGCCTCGGTGGGTACTAGGTGGGGCTGCTGGCGAGGCGGGGACGGCCCAGGGGCCTTGGGGGCCGGGCTCTCAGCAAGGCTTTGCCTGTCCCTACCTTCTTTCTGGAGTGCCTGTGGTGTTCACGTCCCAGCAGCAGTCTCTGCCCCCAGAGGTGACTGGAGCTGGAGACCCAGCCAGGGAGCGATGGGGCTCAGGACACAGTGGGGATGTGTGTGGGATGGGTGTCTGACCAGCCAAGCAGCCGGGTCCCAGGGGAGGATGTGGAAGGCCAGGCTCCCCGTGGAGTGCAGACCCCTGTGCCTGGGGGACTGTGATGTCATGGGGTACACGGGCCTGAGCAACTGGCTTCTGCCACTTTGGGGCGTGCACAGGGCTGGCTCTGGGGGTGGTCGGGCTCTGCCTCCTTCCTCCCCTGGGTCAGGGCACACCCTGGAGGCCCGGGCCCCCCCAAGCCGTCCCCTCTGCCCCTTTAGGATGGGTGCAGCCCTCGAGGGCCCTGGATGGAGAGACAAGGCAGGTAAGGTCCCCTCTGGGGAAACCGGGGAGGGTCTTCAGGTCCCGGGTGGGGCTGCCATGCCATGTTCTCTGTGTCACGTATCCATGGTGCCTGCCAGTTTCCAAGGTCCCTGCCTGCAAAGGGGTACCTGGACCTGCATGTGACTGGCGTGGGAGCAGGTCCGGGGAGTAGCAGAGCCGAAATTGCAGCTGGGTCTGGGAAGTAGCTGGATGAGAAGTAGCCAAGCCCATGGGTCTGAGACACAGCCGGGCCTGGGAAGTAGCTGAACTCGGGGAGTACCTGGGCCCAGGGTTAGTGGGACCCGGGACTCCTGCTCCAGGGAGCTGGTCTGAGCCATGTTGAGCAGGCCCTGTGCCCCCAGGAAGCTGCGCCCCTTGATGGAGTCCTGACCAATGCACCTGACATTGCCAGGTGGGTCTGGGGTCTTCACAGCCCTCAAGGGTGAGGCTCGCGGGGCCCCGTCCCCCGCATCCCTTCCCCCTGCACCCCCTCCCCCTGCGTCCCCTCCCCCAGCATCCCCTCCCCCATGCCCCCTCCCCCTGCACCCCCTCCCCCCGCGTCCCCTCCCCCCGCGTCCCCTCCCCCCGTGTCCTCTCCCCCCGGAGTCCTCTCCTGCTTCCTCCTCTGCTCCACTGCAGATCTGACTGGGCTCAGGGCTGCGAAAGGGACTGACACCCCCCCAGGTGGTGGCGACTCCTGGTCCTTGAGGGTGTCACCTGGCCTTGGTTGGGGGGTCTGCAGGGAACACCAGGGTCCTTCGGGGAGAGGTGGGGCTGCGGGGTTGGGGAGCACTGCGTGGGCACTGTGGGGGAGGGGCGATCGTGGGTGCCCAGCCCGACCCCTCCTGCAGCCTCTCCCCACGCCAACTCCTTGACTTCACGTGTGCGGAGGTGTCTGGCCTGAGCACAGAGCTTGTCCAGGAGCTGGCTGTGGCCTTGGGACAGAAGAATGTCAAGCTTTCAGCAGAGCAGGTCAGTCTCAGTTGGGCTGGGGCAGGTGGGCACGGCTGGGGCCGAGGAATTTACAGGCAGCTCTGCAGTGCCCACCTCACCACCACCGTGTCCTCTGCCCCCGCTGCCATCTCTCCCCAGCTAGTTCTTCCCAGAGTTCCTCTGGCCACCCAAGCTGACCACTAGGGTGCCCGTCCACATCAGGGGCCAGCTCCCCAGGAGCAAGTCTGAGATGATCCTGTGTGCTGGGCCCCCTCCTGGAGCCCCGTGGGCAGCCCTCCAGGCTCTGCCCCGAGGGGGAATCTCTTGCGGGGAGTGGGTGAGACCTGGGGAAAGGGAGCCAGCGGCAGCCAGGCACAGGAGCCCACATCCCCTGGGGCAGTGCTGCAGGCAGCTGGAGATCCACTCCCACAGATTCCCGTGGCCAGGGCAGGGGTGTGTTGTGGTGGGTGGACCAGCCAGGCAACCCTGGCCCACCACGTGGGTGGCCGCCCGAAACACTCTGTGCTGGACGCCCTGCCCCTGCAGCTGCGCTGTCTGGCTCACCGGCTCTCTGAGCCCCCCGAGGACCTGGACGCCCTCCCACTGGACCTGCTGCTATTCCTCAAGTAGGCTCCATCCCCTGGCCCCCACCCTCCGGCTTCTGCCCTCAGCCCTCAGCCCCCAGCCCCCTTCCCCCTGCCTCGGACCCCAGGCCACAGCAGAGACATGGAGGCCAGCCTAGCCGCCTCTTTGGGTGGGGAATGGTGTGATCAATGTGGCCTGTCCCCAGCACCCTCTCTCCACAGCCCAGACGCATTCTCGGGGCCCCAGGCCTGCACCCACTTCTTCTCCCGCGTCACGAAGGCCAACGTGGACCTGCTCCCACGGGGGGCTCCTGAGAGACAGCGGCTGCTGCCTGCGGCTCTGGCCTGCTGGGTAGGAGCTGGGGCCAGTGTGGGGTGGAGAGGGCTCGGCAGTTCCAAAGGCGCTGAGGCTGGCATCTGTGCAGGGTGTGCAGGGGTCTCTGCTGAGCGAGGCTGATGTACAGGCTCTGGGAGGCCTGGCTTGCGACCTGCCTGGGCGCTTTGTGGCCGAGTCGGCAGAAGTGGTGCTACCCCGACTGGTGCGCTGCCTGGGACCCCTGGACCAGGACCAGCAGGAAGCAGCCAGGGCAGCTCTGCAGAGAGGAGGACCCCCCTACGGGTAAGAGAAGGTGTCTGGAACCTCGAAGGCTTGCCTGGCGTTGTGGTGTGATCAGCCCGTGAGGACACCCACGGCCATGCCTCAAGGCCCAGGGTCGGTCACCCCCGCCACAACCCCTGTCAATGCCCCCAGCCAGGGGGTATGGCCTAGCCTGGCCATCTCCTCCCTCTCTTCCTTGTCTGGGGCTGCATTTGGGGGTCCCTGAGCTGTGACTCGTGTCTGCACAGCCCCCCATCAACGTGGTCTGTCTCCACCCTGGACGCTCTGCAGAGCCTGTTGCCTGTGCTGGGCCAGCCCATCATCCACAGCATCCCGCAGGTGAGACCCCGACCCCCAGCCCGTGGGGAGCCTGGCCACCCGAGGCTCAGCCTGGGCCCTGCTCGTCCTCAGGACATCCTGGCCGCATGGCGGCAACGCTCCTCTCGGGACCCATCCTGGCGGCAGCCTGAACAGACCGTCCTCCGGCCGAGATTCCGGCGGGACGTGGAGAGTGAGTGCCGTGCCCTGTGCAGTCTGGCATCAGGCTGGGCAGCACCCTTGGGGGTGGGCATCTGCAGTTTAGGGTCTCACCTACCCCTCCCTGGCTCTGCAGCACGTCCCATTATAACCACAGAGAGTGGACAGAATCCCCGTTTGCCAGTGGGTAAACTGAGGCACGGGGAGGGTCACAAATTGCCCAAGGTCTCATCTCACGGCAGGTGTGGGAGGAAGAAGGGGTCAAACGAACTCTGGCCCCTGACCCCGACCCCTGTGCCCTGCAGGGACAACCTGTCCCCCAGAGAAGGAGGTCCGTGAGATAGACGAGAGCCTCATCTTCTACAAGAAGTGGGAGCTGGAAGCCTGCGTGGATGCAGCCCTGCTGGCCGCCCAGATGGACCGCGTGAACGCCATCCCCTTCACCTACGAGCAGCTCGACGTCCTAAAGCATAAACTGGATGAGGTAGTTCATGACTCAGGTTCCCGCCGGCCCGCTGCGTCCAAGCCATCCCCAGACCCTGGGAGTGACACGGGCCCTTCTGGCCTCTCGGCCTGCAGCTCTACCCACAAGGCTACCCCGAGTCTGTGGTCCGGCACCTGGGCCACCTCTTCCTCAAGATGAGCCCTGAGGACATCCTCAAATGGAACGTGACGTCCCTGGAGACCCTGAAGGCTCTGCTCAAAGTCAGCAAGGGGCATGAAATGAGTGCTCAGGTGACCGTCTGGCTCCAGGGGGAGGGGGGATGCGGCATGAGATTGGGTGGGGCCTGGGGTCGGGGGCACAGCCTGAGGTTGTGCTGGTGGTGGAGGGATACGTCTCTGCCCGCCACAAGGCTCCTTAGTGGCCCCTCCCGCAGGTGGCCACCCTGATTGACCGCGTTGTGATGGGAAGGGGCCAGCTAGACAAAGACACCGTAGACACGCTGACTGCCTTCTGCCCCGGGTGCCTGTGCTCCCTCAGCCCCGAGCGGCTGAGCTCCATGCCCCCCAGCATCATCGGGTGAGTCCCCAGAGCTCTGCCCAGCAAGGTCGGTCTGTGTGCTGGCACTCACTGTCCACCCACCCTGTCCCCAGGGCGGTCAGGCCCCAGGACCTGGACACGTGTGGCCCGAGGCAGCTGGATGTCCTCTATCCCAAGGCCCGCCTTGCTTTCCAGAACATGAGCGGGTCCGAATACTTCGTGAAGATCCGGTCCTTCCTGGGTGAGCCAGGGAGTTCCTGGACAGGGTGGGCACCACAACGGGGGGGCCACAGACTCCACTCAGGGGGTGCCAGGCCTTTGCCTTCCTGGGCCGCCTACTGCCAGGGTAACTGGGTGGTCACCGGCCCTCTGCCCCCAGGATGTGTGTGGCCTTAGAGCTTGTGGGTTCTGACCCCAGCTTGGGGCGCCAGCCACTTCCGGAGTCTCCCACGCCCGGGGGTCAGGCGGCCAGGCAAACCCAGGCCCTGGAACCCCTAAGGAAACAGGGAAGCCCTGTAATCCTGTCACACAACTGGGCTTCCTGCAGCCCGTGGTCAAGGGCCTGGGGGTGTGAGATGAGGCCTCAGCTTGGGTGCCTCTCCCTGAGGGCAGGTGGGGCCCCCACGGAGGATTTGAAGGCTCTCAGTCAGCAGAATGTGAGCATGGACTTGGCCACGTTCATGAAGCTGCGGAGGGAAGCAGTGCTGGTACGGTGAGCGGGAGGAGGGGCGAGTGGAGGAGGGGACAACCGTGGGCGGGAGGGTGTGTAAGGCGGGCCTGCAGAGGGGTGGGGGCGCAGGGCCTTAGGAAGGGCAGGGTCCTCGACTGTGGTGGGGCCTAGGGAAGGGCAGCCATTGAACTGGGGTCAGCCAGCCGGAGACCTTCAAAGTCTGAAGAAGCTGCGGCGGGCATCTGTGGGTGGGGCAGTTTGGACACAGGAGAGCCTGGCAACCCTCTGGGGGCGCTGGGGGAAGGGGACCCTCCTTGATGGCTGCCCCGGGGATCTGGCAGCCGTTGACTGTGGCTGAGGTGCAGAAACTTCTGGGACCCCACGTGGAGGGCCTGAAGGTGGAGGAGCAGCACAGCCCCGTGCGGGACTGGATCCTACAGCAGCGGCAGGACGACCTGGACACACTGGGGCTGGGGCTACAGGGCGGCATCCCCAACGGTTACCTGATCCTAGACCTCAGTGTGCGAGGTGGGCGGGGTGGCGGCCAGGGCTGGGGGCAGGGCTGGGGACGTGGAGGTGGGCGCTCTGAGTCACCCCTCTCTCTGTAGAGGCCCTCTCTGGGACGCCCTGCCTCCTAGGACCTGGACCTGTACTCACCGTCCTGGCTTTGCTCCTGGCCTCCACCCTGGCCTGAGGACCCTACTCCCTTGCTGGCCCCAGCCCTGCTGGGATCCCCGTCTGGCCAGGAGCAGGCGTGGGTGGTCCCTGTTCCACCCCAGGAGAACTTGCGCTCAGTAAACGGGAACATGCCCCCTGCAGACACGCCTTGTGACTTCCGAGCACTCTGTGACCCCACCAGCATGGCTCCTCTCCCTCTGGTCTTGGGCCCTCAGGCCAGGTGGGGTCCCTTGGAGGCCCTTCCTGACCCTGCTGCCACTGTGCTGAGGGCCAGGCCAGCACTCAGGGTGGTCCCAGTAGACAGTGGTGGGAGTCCCGTGCCCCCATCCCCACAGGCTGGGCCCTGGCTAGGACATTCCCGGGCCCCCCTCCCCACAGGCTGGGCCCTGGCTAGGACATTCCCGGGCCCCCATCCCCACAGGCTGGGCCCTGGCTAGGACATTCCCAGGCCTCCCTGCTCAGACCCAGAGCACCGACACAGGCGGGACCACGACCTTGGACTTTATTCACGACCAGCAACGAAGTCAGTGGTTCCAAACCCCAGACCCAGCCCCAGCTCCAGCCCCAGCCCTAGCCCTCTGCAGGGCCCGGGCAGTGTCTTCTGTGTCCCGCCTGGGCCTGTGGTTGTGTGGGAGGCACCTCCTCAGGGCCTGGTCCTCAGTCCAGCTCGCAGGGCCTGGAGGCGGGGATGGGTGGGGCAGCCTAGGAGGTGGGGCTTGGGCAGGTTGGCCTGGCCTAGAGCCGGCCCCTCAGTCCAAGTGGGTGTCCAGCTGAATCTAACAGCCCTGTTTTTCCTGCACCTGACCCCTGTGAACCCAACCACCCTGAGGCAGCACTGTCCACAGAAGCCAGGGTGCAGGTCCCCCAGTGCAGCAACCACAGGAGGCTACAGGGCAGGGCCACCGCCAGGGGCAGGTACCCCAGGGGGGCCCACGGGCTGCCTGTAGATGGAACAGGGAGGACACCATCAGTCCCCTGGACGCTACCCCCATATCCAGCCCCTGGAGCCAGACAGGCCTGGGCAGCCCCTCCCTCTGGCTTGGGAGGGTGGGGACAGCCAGCGAGGACACCTGTCTGCGGCTGCTCTTCTGGGACCCAACAAAGATCTCAAGGCTTCCCCTGCCCTCGCTTTCTGCTGGTCAGTGGGTTTTAGGGGAGGCAGCTGCGTCTCTCACTCAGTAGGCAATGAAGGGTGAAGCCAGGGTTGGCCAGCGTCATCCCAGGAAGCAATGGACAAAGCTGGTGGACAGACTGTGGGAGTGGCCACGAGGCGGGGAACAGGTCTGAGAGGGCTCTGGGCAGAGGGGGCCAAGCCGGAGGGGTGTGGGGGCCATACCTGAGGTGGAGGCCTGGGCAGCGTTCCCAGGCAGGCCTGAGGTGTGGACCAGATGGGGCGCTTGGTGGGTGGTGCTGGGGGGCCCGCTGGTGCCATGGGCTGGGCCGGCGGGGCTGGAGGGGCTGGCGGGGCTGGAGGGGCCGGCGGGGCTGGCGTCCAGGCCCAGCTGGCCCAGGGCGGAGCTGTTGAGGCTGTACAGCCAGGACCTGACGGTGGGGTGGCTGCGGGCCTTCTGCAGCTCTCCCACGTTGTGGCCCAGCAGCGCAGTCACGTTGCTGACATCCAGCCTCTGCGGGGAGGGGCGGGGCAGAGGGGCCATGGGGCCACCTTCCAGGCCAGGGGAAGACCCACAGGATAGGGCCAGACCCAGGACTGGGCAGTGGCAGGAGTGAGGCCCAGAAACGTCCTGGAGTGGGAAAGTGGGGGTATGCTGGCTGTGACCTGTGACCTAGGGGCTCCCCCGCCTGGGCCAGCCCTGTACCCCCACCCTCACGGGGCAGCCCGGCCCCACCTGCAGCACGCGGGGGTTCAGGCTGGTGAAGGTGTCTATGTCCATGGAGATGTTGGCCTGGGCCAGGTGCTGCAGCTCCTCCGCCGGTGCACCGCCTGGGGGGACGGGGGTGAGGGGGCGGGGGGGAACCGCCCGGGGGGGCGGGGGGGGGGGGGGGGGGGGCGGGTTCACGGGGGAGGGTCGGGGAGTCGCCCGCGGGGACGGGGGTGAGGGGCGGGGCTCCACGGGGGAGCCACCTGCAGGGGACAGGGGACAGGGGGTGGGGCTCCACTGGGCGGGGAGCCACCGGGGGGATGGCATGAGGGGGCGGGACTCCACCCGGGGAACCGCTGAGGGGACGGGTGAGAGGGTGGGGCTCCACGGGGGTGGGGAGCCACCCAGGGGGACGGGTGAGGGGGCGGGGCTCCACTGGGGGAACCGATGGGGGGATGGGGGTGAGGGGGACAGGGCTCACCGAGGTAGGGGCGCATGAAGTGGTAGTAGGCAGCCGGGGTCCTGCTGCTGCTGCTGAAGGCCTCATGGGCCTTGGCGTAGAGCACGTCCTTCCGGCTCTGGGGGCAGGAAGAGACGTCCAGGGCCCCAGCCAGCCTGGGGGAGGCGGGAGGCTGAGGAGTTGGCCACCAGCCCCCAACACTTCCAACGGCTGGGCATGGCCCTCCCTTCGTGAGCCACAGCTTTCCTCTCGCCCTCTGTCCTGGGGTGAACAGGGTTCCCCCAAATGCACATCCACCCAGAACCTCAGAATGTGACCTTGTTGGGAAATAGGGTCATTGCAGATGGGATAAGGTCAGACTGGATCAGGTGGGCCCTAACTCAGTGACTGGGGTCCTTCTAAGGACAGGGAAAGCTGAGGGCCAGGTGCAGTGCTCTCGCCTGTAATCCCAGCACTTTGGGAGGCCTGGGTGGGTGGATCACGAGGTCAGAAGATCAAGACCAGCCTGGCCAACATGGTGAAGACCGGTCTCTACTAAAAATACAAAAATTAGCTGGGCGTGGTGGCGGGTGCCTGTAATCCCAGCTACTCCGGAGGCTGAGGCACGAGAACTGCTTGAACCCAGGAGACAAGATGGAGGTTGCAGTGAGCTGAGATCACGCCACCACACTCCAGCCTGGGCGGCAGAGTCTCAAAAACAAATAAACGAACAAAAAAAAAAAAAAAAAAAAAAAGGAAATCTGAGGGCTGGGCGCGGTGGCTCACACCTGTAAATCCCAGCACTTCAGGAGACTGAGGCAGAAGGATCACTTGAGCCCGGGAGTCCAAGACCAGCCTGGGCAACACAGTGAGACCCCGTCGCTTAAAAAAAAGAATAGGAAATGTGGACACAGACGAAGAGCGCAGTGTGAGAATGGAGGCAGAGATGGGGTTGATGTGTCCATAAGCCCAGGGGCGCCAAACCTTGTCAGCAACACCAGAAGCTGGAGGACACAGGAAGGGTCCTCCCTGCAAGGTTCAGAGGGGGCGGGGACCACCAGCACCCTGGTTTCAGACCTCTGGCCTCCAGAACTGAGAGAATATATTTCTCTTTAAAATTACCCAATTTGGCTGGGTGCAATGGCTCACATCTGTTATCCCAGCACCTTGGGAGGCTGAGGAGGGTGAATCGCTTGAGGTCAGGAGTTCAAGACCAGCCTGGCCAACATGGTGAAACCCCATCTCTACTAAAAGTACAAAAATTAGCTGGACATAGTGGCGGGCGCCTATAATCCCAGTTACTCGGGAGACTGAGGTGGGAGGCTCACTTGAGCCCAGGGGACAGAGGTTGCAGTGAGCCGAGATTACACCACTGTACTCCAGCCTGGGTGACACAGTGAGTCTCTGTCTCAAAAAATAAATAAATAGGCCGGGCACGGTGGCTCATGCCTGTAATCCCAGCACTTTGGGAGGCCTTGATCACAAGGTCAGGAGATGGAGACTATCCTGGCTAACAAGGTGAAACCCCGTCTCTATTAAAAATACAAAAAATTAGCCGGGCGTGGTGGCGGGTGCCTATAGTCCCAGCTACTTGGGAGGCTGAGGCAGGAGAATTGCGTGAACCCGGGAGGCGGAGTTTGCAGTGAGCCGAGATGGCGCCGCTGCACTCCAGCTTGGGAGACAGAGCAAGACTGCATCTCAAAAAAATAAAAATAAAAATAAATAAATAAATAAAGTCACCCAGTTTGTGTCCTTTGCTCAAAGCTAGAGTCCAGCCAGGGCAGCCGTAGGACTAATGCACCCGATAGCCTGGCTGAGCTGCCCTCCTTGCCCTCAGTTTCCCCTCGTGGTCCCCCTGGGCTGAGGCGGGAGCTGCCTCTGAGTGGGGGGGTGTTGGCTCACCGGAGCTCCTGGGGATGGATGGTCTGGATCTGCTGAGGACTCATCCAGCACAGGCGGGTGCCCCCGACGGCCAGCAGCAGGGCGCCGGAGACTGTGCCATTGTGCTCCAGAAACTTCTGCAGCACAGCCTGGGGCACAGCCAGGGTCGGTGGGGCGGGCTGGAGCTTGGGATCACCCACCTGCCCGCCCGCGCAGGTGCCCTCACCTCTGTCTGGTTCTCCAGGGCCACATCAGAGGCCAGCAGAGCCACAACCGTGCCCCGGGAGGTGATGCTCCACTGGCCGATCTCGGTGCAGGAGTAGAGGTAGACCAGCGAGGTGATGAGCCGCAGCTGATCCTCCGGGAGGCCTTGTGGGTAGATCTGAGCAGGTGGGCAGGGCCGGGCAGGGTCAGCAGAGGTGCTGCGCCTGCCGGGCCTCCCCATCACCCCCGCCCAGCCGTGCACCTGCGTGAGCTTGGCCTTGACCACGCGCTGGCACTCAGTGGGCAGCGGGTGCTGTAGCAGGGGTTCCAGGTTGGTTCTGAGGACGTGGCCATCCAGGCAGGACTCAAGCTGTGCACAGTCATAGTGCACCAGGAAGAGGTTGTCCCGCAGTGTGGCGGCCGTGATGTTGCCTCGGACACAGGATCTCCCTGGGGGTGTGTGTGGCCCAGGCTGGTAACCGGGGCCTGGGCCAACCACCACTGCCGGCTCCAGGGCGCCCCCCCGCTTTTTTTTTTTTTTTTGAGACAGAGTCTTGTTGCCTAGCAGCAGGGCATCAAAGGCTGGAGAGTAGTGGCATTGATCTTGGCTCACTGCAACCTCTGCCTCCCTGGTTCAAGCGATTCTCCTGCCTCAGCCTCCCGTGTAGCTGGGATTACAGGCGTGTGCCACCACACTGGCTAATTTTTGTATTTCTAGTAGAGATGGGGTTTCGCCGTGTTGGCCGGGCTGGTCTTGAACTCCTGACCTTAAGTGAATCCTCTTGCCTTGGCCTCCCAAGGTGCTGGGATTACAGGCCTGAGCCACTGTGCCCGGATTTTTTTTTTTTTTTTAGGTGGACTCTCACTCTGTCGCCCAGGCTGAGTGCAGTGGCATGATCTCTGCTCACTGCAACCTCCACCTCCTGGGTTCAAGCGATTCTCCCTCCTCAGCCTCCCAAGTAGCTGGGATTATAGGCATGCACCACCACGCCCGGCTAATTTTTGTGTTTTTAGTAGAGACGGGGTTTCCTCACGTTGGCCAGGCTGGTCTCAAACTCTGGACCTCAAGTGATTTGCCTGCCTCGGCCTCTGAAAGTGCTGGGATTACAGGTGTGAGCCACCGTGCCCGGCCCAGGCCCCCTCTTTGACCCCTTCCCATCCACTTCTGACCTTGGTCAGACCTTGGCTTTCCCAGAGTTCTAACCAAGAACTTGGCCAAACGACTTCTCTGAAGTCAGCCAGGCCCGAGGGAGGAGCCGGACTGGGGAGGTGCAGCGTCCCAGACCACAGTGGCCATACTGACCTGTGCTGAGCCTGGGCCTGGAGGACACCGCTTTGGTCTTGGATTCCAGGAAGCTGGTGACGAAGCGCCTGGCCTGGTGCTGGCTGAGCCTCCCTGCCCGGCATGCCGCCACCATGCTGCTGAAGAAGCCCAGGCCCACGGCCTGGCAGGGCAGGTGTGGGCTGAGGTTGGTGGCCCGGGCAAGGCTCGCTTGTGCCCACCCTGGGGCCCCCTCCTACCTCCTGCACCTGTGCCCACAGGTGAGGGCTGATGTATGTGGCCAGGGAACCCAGGGCCTGCAGCCCCTGCAGTGTCCAGGAGCCAGGGGGCCTGGTGCACAGAAAGGGGTGCTGTGTTGGGTCCAGGGCAGGCCCCCGCCCCCGGAGCCCCTGCCCCTCCATGGACACCCAGCAGGCAGGAGGAGCACTCAGTAGGTGCTTGACCACCCAGACCCCTGACTGGCACCCACGGGAGGCACACCCCCCCCACAGCTAGTGGGGCAGCAACCCAACGCTCTGCCCCCTTGGCTGCAGGACCCAGTGAGGTTGAGGCCAGAGGTCAGATGTTAGTGGGCTGTGGACATCAGTGACCTCTTGGGCCAACCCCAGGCTGCCTCCCGTCTCATCCCCGCCTCCTCGCCTGGCCCCGTGACCCCACGCACCCGAGCGAGGTCTTCCCACTGGCCAGCAGTGAGTTGAGGGCGATGCGCTGGGCGGTGGTCAGCCGGGGGCAGCGCTGCAGGTTCTCCAGCACGTGGGGGTCCGCAGCACTGATGCTGGACCCGTCCATGTCACACACCAGGGCCCCGAGCAGCGGCAGGTTGGAGGCGCTGAGCTGTGGGCGGGCTCCCCCCTGCAGGGCCAGCAGGTCGGCACCCAGCAGGAGGCCGCCTCCAATGCACCGGGCCCGTCCCGCCCAGGTGCCCACCAGGCAGGTCACAGCCGCCCCCCACACGCCTCAGCCCACCCTGCCCAGCGCCCACCAGGCAGCCCACAGCCACACGCTGCAGGGCGACCCTCTGGTCGGGAAGATGGCTCAGCAGCTCCACGTCCCCCTGGGCGGCGCGGCGGATGAAGGCCCGGCAGTCAGCTTCCCGCACCTGGCTCAGGCTGCAGGTGAGTGTGAGGCTGTCAGACTGACGGGGGGCGGGGCCGGAACTCCCAGCAGCCCTGAGATGCCCCTGGGGCATTGAGGGCCCCTAGGACTCCTGTGGCTGGGCAGGGAGGGACACTCACTTGTAGAAGAGCAGCAGGTTGGGCGGGTGGAGCGTGAAGTCGTCCTGGAGGCCGCACCGTGATGCCAGGTTGGCCAAGCAGCTGAGCTGGGCAGGAGGGCGCTGGTCACTCCCTCGTCCACTCTGGACTCGCTATGGCAGCCCGTGGGCGCCCTTCCCCTCTGCGCGGGCCTCAGGACCCAGTCCCCACCCACTTCTTGGGCCCCATTTCCCACGTCGGGTCCTCCCCGTGGCCACCTGTGCCCACCCCTCCGCCTGGAGGGGAACCCCGCACAGCAGAACAGGCCTCCAAACGGCCGCCCCCAGCCCCGAAGCTGCCTCCCCGACCGCCAGGCCCCTCCGCTGCCTCCCCGGCCGCCAGGCCCCTGTGCCGCCTCCTCACTGGCGGAGTGCTGAAGTGTCTGGATGCTGGGCGGGTGTGGATGATTGCCTATCCTCACCAAGGAATAGGCTCCACAACGCCGGGGTTGGGGGTCTCCTCCAGTGCAGCCCCTTGGCAGCTTCCCAAGTGGACCCTGGGTGGTGCCCCTCGGCTCCACTGACAATCTCCTCCTGGCACTAGGGCTCTGCCAGGCCCAGCCTCCGCCCCTCCGTGCTCCCTGAGGCTCTGCTCACTCCTCTCAGCCTATGCAGGACGCTGCCCAGCCTCAGCCACCCCCCACCTAGGCTTGTCTAGACCTGGTCTTTGAGGTCATTTCAAGGGTTTTTAGCCCATTCCTCAGAGGGCCCTTTGCCCGATTTTTTTTTTTTTTTTTTTGAGGCGGAGTCTCGCTCTGTCGCCCAGGCTGGAGTGTAGTGGCCGGATCTCAGCTCACTGCAAGCTCCGCCTCCCGGGTTCACGCCATTGTCCTGCCTCAAGACTCCCGAGTAGCTGGGACTACAGGCGCCCGCCACCTCGCCCGGCTAGATTTTTGTATTTTTTTAGTAGAGACGGGGTTTCACCGGGTTAGCCAGGATGGTCTTGATCTCCTGACCTCGTGATCCGCCCGTCTCGGCCTCCCAAAGTGCTGGGATTACAGGCTTGAGCCACCGCGCCCGGCCTGCCCGATTTTATGTCAACCAAGCACCTGGGACATCCTGTGCATATGAGGAGGGGTTTCGAGGCAGACAAGGACGGCCCCAGAGTTTTGTGCAGCCCCCACCAGGGTCTCATCCCTGAGGAAGAGCCCACCCAGGGTGGGGGCTTGGGGACCCTCCTGCAGCCTGAAAGGAGCCCCGGGGAATGGAGCATGGGCTGCCAGCCTCCTGCAGGGCAAGGTCCTCCTGGCTGAGAGGGAGGGGAAGAAAAACCCTGACTCACAAACACCCAGAATGCCTGTGAGCTGGAACAGAATGTTCAGCCTCTTTGATTATCAAAAGAAAGGCAAAAAGCTGGCCAGGTGTGGTGCAATACGCCTGTAATACCAGCACTTTGGGAGGCTGAGGACGGCTGATTACTTGAGCTCAGGAGTCTGAGACCAGCCTGGCCAACATAGTGAGACCCCCTGTCTCTAAAAAGAATTTAAAAGTTAGGCTGGGCACCATGGCTCACGACTATAATCCCAGCAGTTTGGGAGGGTGAGGCGGGCAGATAACCTGAGGCCAGTTTGAGACCAGCCTGGCCAACATGGTGAAACCTTGTCTCTAGTAAAAATACAAAAATAGGCCGGGCGCAGTGGCTCACGCCTGTAATCCCAGCACTTTGGGAGGCCGAGGCGGGCGGATCATGAGGTCAGGAGATGGAGACCATCCTGGCGAACACGGTGAAACCCCGTCTCTACTAAAAATACAAAAAAATTAGCCAGGTGTGGTGGTGGGCGCCTGTAGCCCCAGCTTCCAGGGAGGCTGAGGCAGGAGAATGGCGTGAACCCGGGAGGTGGAACTTGCAGTGAGTGGAGATTGCGCCACTGCACTCCAGCCTGGGCGACACAGCGAGACTCCGTCTCAAAAAAAAAAAATATTAGCCGGGCGTGGTGGCGGGCACCAGTAGTCTCAGCTACTTGGGAGGCTGAGGCAGGAGAATTGCTTGAACCCAGCAGGCAGAGGTTGCAGTGAGCTGAGATCACACCATTACACTCCGGCCTGGGTGACAGAGAGAGACTCCATCTCAAAAAACAACAACTGTCCCAGCTACTGGGGAGGTTGAGGTAGGAGGATGGCTTGAATCCAGGAGGCTGAGGTTGCAATAAGCTGTGATGGTGCCACAGCACTCCAGCCTGGACAATAGAGTGTGATCTTATCTCAAAAAATAATAATCATAATAAAATTTTAAATGTTTTAAAAAAGAGAATGGCCAGGTGCAGTGGCTCATGACTGTAATCCCAGCACTTTGGCAGGCCGAGACCGGCGATCACTCGAGGCCAGGAGTTTGAGACCAGCTTGGGCAATGTGGTGAAACCTCGTCTGTATTAAAAATACAAAAATTAGCCGGGCATGGTGTCACGTGCCTACAATCCCAGCTACCTGGGAGAGGCTGAGGCAGGAGAATTGTTTGAATCCAGAAGGCAGAGGTTGCAGTGAGCTGAGATGGTGCCACTGCACTCCAGCCTAGGTGACAGAGTGAGACTCTGTCTCAAAAATAAATACATAAGAGAGAAAAAACAGACTCCATGGCAGTAAGATACCAAATTATAAACGAGACCTACGGCCGTGCCAGGCAGAGGGGAGGCAGTGCCCGCTGGCCCTCCCTGCTTCCCTCCTGTGGCCTGCTTGTCTGAGTTGAAAGCATTCCTATTTGCTGAGTCCATGCTTTACACAGGGCTTTATTCCTTTAACCGGTTACAAAGGAAAGAGTCTCTGAATCCACCTGTGACTTAGAAGCCCCCAATTCGAGATATCTTGCCTTTTCAGGGAGAACGGGTTGATGTCTGCCTACCCTGTGTTCTCTGCCTCTTTGCCTGTCAGGTGTGCCTGTCCTTGATGCCTAGAAAACCGAACCGCAGCCTGCCGGCCTCAGGTGCACTCACACCTCTTGAGACTTTCCTCGGGCCAGGGTCACTCATGTTGCTCAGATAATCCTCTGAACTATTTCACTGTCTGGTTTTCCCGGGAAGGAATGGAGGTCTTTCTGCCTTTCCCTTTTCCTGGACGGCTCCTCACAGGCCAGGATCCTGCAGCCTATGCACGGAGAGGCCAGTGGGCTGTAAAATCCACTCTCGGGGCCCGGAGTATGTACCCCAAGTCGGGCACCATTCCCCACAGCGGTGGGTGGGGAGGGGAGGGTGAACCCTCGCCCTCACTGCGGACACAGGGTGGAGCATCTGCAGGGAAGTTGGCTGAAAAGTCCTGGAAGTGGATAAGCGTGGGCTGCACCCGAAAGTCACCCCACCTCCTGGGTGGACCCTCCCGTCCTGGGGGGGCTGCACACCCCATCCCGACTGTGGTCACCCTGGGTCCTGCCCCAGCTCTCACTTAGCCATCCCTCACCTCTCACACCTGTGCCCATGTGCCCTTCCCTATCCAGGCCCGTCCCTCAGCGCCTGGCCCACCCACCCACCCACACTCCTTCCCCGCTCACCTGCCAGGCCTGGAGGGGGACCTGCAGCAAGGCCAGCCTCTGGATTAGGGCTGAGAGCTGGTCCCGGGGCAGCTGACCGGCCGGCTGGCACCAGAAGCCTTGCAGCAGGGAGCAGTTGGCACTGGGCAGAGAGGAGGAGACAGTGGCAGGGAGGGTCCGGGAGGGGTGGAAGCAGTTGAGCGCGGCTGCCCAGCAGAAGGGCACGGGCTGCACGCAGCCTGCAGGACCAAGGTCCGACTCCACTGCCCCCCAGCACTGAGGTAGGGAGAGCAGGAGGTGGTGCCCCCGACAGGCAAAACCCTGCTTCACTGACTCATTCACTCACTTGTTTTCACTCATTCACTCATTTTCACTAATTCACTCATTCACTCATTTTTCACTCATTCACTCACTCATTTTCAGTCATTCATTCATTCATTCACTCACTCACTCATTTTCACTCACTCATTTTCACTCATTCACTCACTCATTCACTCACTCATTTTCACTCATTCACTCAGTCACTGATTCACTCACTCATTCACTCACTCTTTACTCAGTCACTCATTTTCACTCATTCATTCACTCTCTCATTCACTCATTTATTCACTCATTTTCACTCACTCATTCACTCATTCCCTCATTTTCACTCATTCACTTATTCATTCATTCTCTCCAGAGCACCCTGTGGGGCCAGGCTCTCGGCTGCATGCAGGGCCTCAGGTGTGGCCCCTACCCAGACCCTGGGGCAGCGCTTCCTCCTGAGGCCGGGTTCCAGCTGCTCCCTGACCACCCCTGCTGGCTCCTGAGGCACCTGAGGAAGAGGCACCCCCACCCAAGGCTTCGGCACCTGTTGGGCAGCCCTGGGGAAGCCGTCTCCGCAGCCTTCCTTATGGTGTGACTCTAATCCAGTCGAACACAGAGCGGGCTTTGTGCCACTCAGGACCCCAGCCCTGCCTCACAGACGCCCTGGTTAGTCAATGGACCAGCCTGTCACTGTCACCAACTCTGAAGTTCGGGGAGGAGGGCGGAGCCCAGCACGAGGCTCCAGGCAGTGCGGGGAAACCACAGAGTGTTCTCTGGGGTGGGCAGACGTGGCTGGGCCTGATGGTCGAGGCCTCGGCGGTGGCCGAGGGACCCACACCCGGTCGTGTAGGTCCAAAGCTGGACACTGAGTCATCTCAGGGCCCCCCAGGGTGGAGCAGGAGATGACAACCTCAGCAGCAGACTGCCGGCGGCCACCCCCAGACCCCTCCCCATCCCCTAGTCAGACCCCTCCCCCAGCCCAACCGAGAAGCAGACCCCACTGCAAGTCGGCTGCACTCACCTGGCCCACAGGTTGGCCCCACTGGCGTCCAGCCCTCCTGGGGAAAGACCCTTGGCCTGGGGCCCGGAGCAGTGGGCGGTGAGGGACAGGAGGAGGGTGAGGCCCGAGCTCTGCAGGGCACCTGGAATAAGGCGGGGCGTGAGGGTCCCGGTGGGAGCAAGGACCGGGCATCCGGGTGCCAGGGTGGACCTGCGACCCCCACCATGGGGGCCTCCTTGAGACCAGAGAACACAGAGGAACTTCTGGAGCCCCACAGCACTGGCCACCTGTGCACAGCCTGGGCCTGAGCGCGGGGCGTGTCTGGTGGTGTATGCACAGGCATGAGGCTGTGGACGTGTGTAGGCACGCACGTGTAGGTGACAGTGTGCACGTGTAGGTGACAGTGTGCACGTGTAGGTGACAGTGTGCACGGGTAGCACAGGTGTGAGGCTGTGGACGCGTGCAAGCACGCACAGGTGACAGTGTGCACACGTGGGTGATGGTGTGCATGGGTAGGTGACGGTGTGCAGGGTAGGTGATGGTGTGCACATGTAGGTGACTGTGCATGTGTAGATGACAGTGTGCACGGATAGGTGACAGTGTGCACGGGTAGGTGATGGTGTGCATGGATAGGTGACCGTGTGCACGGGTAGCACAAGCGTGAGGCTGTGGACGCATGCAAGCATGCACAGGTAGGTGACGGTGTGCACATGTAGGTGACTGTGCATGTGTAGATGACAGTGTGCACGGATAGGTGACAGTGTGCACGGGTAGGTGACGGTGTGCATGTGTAGATGACAGTGTGCACGGGTAGGTGACGGTGTGCATGGATAGGTGACAGTGTGCACGGGTAGGTGACGGTGTGCATGGATAGGTGACAGTGTGCACGGGTAGCACAAGCGTGAGGCTGCGGATGCATGCAAGTATGCACAGGTAGGTGACAGTGTGCACGGGTAGGTGACAGTGTGCAGGGTGTGGCTGGATAGGTGAGACAGTGCGGTGCACGGGTGAGTATTGAAGCGTGAGGCTGCGACAGGCAAGGCCAGTAGTGATGGAGGTGCACGGTAGGCAGGCAGGGTAGGTGACTGTGCATGTGTAGGTGACAGTGTGCACAGGTAGGTGACAGTGTGCACGGGTAGGTGACAGTGTGCAGGGTAGGTGACTGCATGTGTAGGTGACAGTGTGCACGGGTAAGTGACGGTGTGCACGGGTAGATGACAGTTGTGTGCATGAGTCTGGCGGTGTGTGCACATGTGCACCCGTGTTGCACACGTGTGAGATGGCAGGTATATGTGTGAGCGCCTTCTCCCTCTAGCCAGATGCCCCGTGGCTCTGTGTCCTCACAGTGGAGCCCTGAGACCCCCAAGACAGAGGAGGTATGGGGGCAGAAGCCGCCTTCGAGGGCCCCAGCTGCTCAGTTCTGCAGTGGGGGTCACAGCAGGGCCTCCTCGCAGGAACTGGGGGCCCAGCCCATGTTCCTGCTTTGGAAACCCAGCCCAGGAAGGGGGTTTGGGTGCAGGGGAGCCCCCTTTCTTGCTGGCCCTGGGGAGACCATGTGGTGAAGTCTCTTCTCCAGCAGGCGTAAAGCAGGAATCGCCACAGCCCACACAGATCTGCCACGGCCTCCTGGGCTGCTGGGGCCTGGCCCACCCCTCTCAGGGAGGGTGAGGCACTGGGCAGCCCTGGGCATGGCCAGGGTCCCTCCCCACCCTGGCCTTAGAGCCTGGCCCTGCCTGTGCCCGGGCTGCCCAAGAGAACGGTGTCTCCACTCACCCCCACCCCCACCATTTCCCCAGAAGCCACGTCCAGCTGCCTGGGCCAGGAGTGGCCCCTTCTAGCCAAGCTTGCCTGCCCTGCCTCACCCTCCCAGGACCCCCATGCCTGCTGGGGTGGGCTGGGCTCACCGTGTCCTGGCAGCCCCCCCCCCCGGCCGCCTGCTGCTGGGCAGGGCCCACCTCCTCCTTCCTTGGCTTGGGACAGACTCTGGCTCAGGAAAATGGGGTGGCCAGGGCCCTGGGCACTCCCACATCTGTGGGATGGTTTTGCCACGTGGGCCTGGCACTCTGGAGGCCCCCCTTCTGCATGGAGGTCTCGTCTCACCCACTCTGGGGCGCATGTCTGTGCGGCAGCGTGCGCTGGTCATCCTGGCTGAGACGTCCCAGGGCAGGAAGGTGCTGGGGCCACGGGCAGTGAGTCCAGGACTAGCTGGAGAAGCGTGACACAGGCGAGACACAGGTGAGACACACAGGCTGGCCCCACACTGCCTCCCACCCCCTGGGGTGTGGAGAGGGAGGGTGCAGTCCAGGCTCACCCGGGGCGGCGGGGCCAGAGCTGCGGCTCTCCCACCTTCAAGGGGGAAGGATCTCACAAACAGTAAAGTGCAGCAGAGGGACCAGGAGCCGGCGAAACCCTGGGCCTTTCTTATCACAGGTAGGGGCCTGGGGGACCCACGGGTTGCTGCGTCTCCAACCAACAGCGAGTGCCTCAGGCAGCCTCGTGCACCCCGGCTTCATCCCCACACCCAGCGGCCCTGGCAGCTCCGTTTCCCTCTTTGAACCCCAGATGTCCGGCTCTGTTGCTGAAATCTGGCCCCCAGTGGCAGCTGGGGTAGGCTCAGCCGCGCTGGAAATGGAAGCTGCAAGGCCTGAGGAGTCAGGGTCTCGGTACTGCTGCGGGCCACTGCCTCCTCCTGGAACCAGCCTGATGGCTTTTGGGCACCTCTGGGCCTCCTGACTGTGGCCCAAGAGGGAGACATGGAGGCTGCCCCACGCAGAGGCAAATGCAGCGGCTTGGGACTGGCCCTGCGGTGGGCTGGTGGTGGCTCCCACCCGCCCTTCTCACCTGAGCAGAAACCCTGGGTGCGGCGGGGGAGGTGCTGCCGGGCCGTGGGGTGGCTGCTCCGGGCAGGGAGTTGCGGACCAGGTGCTCCAGACGCAATCCCAGCCCGCCAAGTGCATCAGCTGCTGCTGCTGAGCGCCCGGGTGCAGAGACGGTGCAGGGGGGGATGCCGGGGTCCCCGCTCACCTCCACGCCGGTCTGGCAGGTGGCATGGGACTGCCCCGCCCCGCCCCACTCCCACAGTGACGCCCGCTGGGCAGTCCTGTGGGGGAGGCCCAGGCTGTGCCAGGTGATGCACCGTGTCAGCCCTTGGGGACCTCGGGCACAACAGGCACCTACTCCCTTCCCCCACAGCGAAGGCTGAGCTCACAGCTGGCAGCGGCCCAGCTCATGCTCCTCCCTGCCCACCAGGGCTCTGCTCTGCAGTCTCTGCGCCCCAGGGGTCGTGCTGCGCGCCTGCATCTGAGTCCGTCGTGTTTGCTGGTGCCTGCGTGTACAGGTGCATCTCGGGCCTCCTGGTCTGTGTGCCCAGGAGCATGGACACGGACATACTGTGTCCCTGTGTGGGGACATCAGGCACACAAGGACCCAATGCGGTGGTCAGGCATGGTGACAGCTGCGGTCATTCTGTGGGTACCACAGCACAGAGCTGGGCAGGCAGGAGCACCCGTGTATGCACTGTGGGGCTCCACCAGGCAGACCAGGGCAGGAGGACAGACAGGAGGGACTTCCCAGCCCGCCTGCCAGGCTTCTCCCCTCACTGGGACGGGGTGCTGGGTGTCCCAGGCTGAGCCCCAACCTGGCCCACCTACCCCACCTCTCATTTTGGGAGGGGCTCAGCCCCTGGTTGGCAGGACCACAAGGGCTCCAAGGCCCTGGCATCCTGCAGCTCAGGTTCAGCTGTGGCATGACCACCCCCTGCACCAGAGCTGTGGGTGCCCAACGAGCCAGCCCCATGGCCAGGCTGAGACTTAATCCCTGCTCTGGGTCTTGTGGGGGCTGACAGCGGGGGGACTGGTGGGTGACCGCTCCCCAGGCCTGTACAGGCCCACGGGAATCCAGGTGCCCCTCTGAGAGCTCCAGGCTGACACTGAAGCATGGGCACCACGAGGGACGGCACTCAGGAAGCCTGGCTTGTTGAGGAGGGTCCGGCTCAGGTCAGGCCTTGAAGGCCCCTTGGCCAGCCACCAGCTGGGCCAGCCCAGCTGGACACAGCAACTCCAACAGCTGCAACCGGTTGCAGTTAGGGGCAGTGAGGTTGGCAGCCCCCAGTCCAGAGGAGTGGGGTCCCGTGGGGCAAGGTGGGGAGACAGTCCCACCAGAGAGGAGAGCTGTGCCTGGCTCCAACTTGGGCTGATTCAGACAAGGACCAGGAGGAAGCCTGGAGACAAGCCAGCCCTGGGGGAGGGGAGGCCGGGGCCAGGCGCCGAGAGTGGACACATCCCTGGGCTGGCCAGGGAGGGGGAGGGGCCTAGAGAGCGACGGGTGTGCTGGCCGGGAGGGCTTTGCTGCTGCTCTCTGTTGGGGTCGCCCAACTGGTGGTACTTGAGGGTTATGTGGTCTCTTCAGATCTGCACCAGCCCCTTCCTTTAAGGATGAGGAAACTGAGTCACGGGAGCAGCAGGAGTGAGCCCAGGGCTTGTGGCCTTCCCTCAGGGACTCTGGGGCTGGAACCCGTATCTCGGCTGAGGGCACAGCGGCAGCTGCCTCTGGTCCAGGCCCTGCTGCTGTCACTGCTGGGGTCCTAACCAGGGTTTCAGGGCTGGCCCTGGAGCTGGACAGTGGCAGGCAGGGGCCAGGCAGCCCTGAGACCAAGTGCTGGCCCATGAGACGCCCCTTCCAAAGAGCTGAGACTCGGGGGGCCAGGCTCCTCTCTGGCCCCAGGCCTGGGCTGACACAAGGGCCTGGGCTCTACGAAGGTCCCTGGCTGGGCCCAGGTGGGTGCTCCCGTGGTTCTGGTTGTGGGGGCTGGGGGTCGTCGGGGGCCTGCCCAGGCCAAAGCTGCAGGGTGCTTGCTGTCTGCAGGAGGGGCCGATAGGAGCCAGAACCACTGCGTCTGTCCTGGGTCCTGCTGGGACCTCAGGGCTGGAAAGAGAGCTAGGAAGGGTCTGGGTAGCCAGACCTGTCCCTCGGAAGCCCAGCTTCGGACACGTTCACGGTCACCCTTGAAGCCAGTCAGTGAGCATTTATTTGGAGTCCCTGGAGCCCCACCGTAGCCAGGAGCCCAGGCTGTGGCGTGGGGGACAGAAGAGGTGAGACCCGGCATGCCCACAGCTCCCAAGCTGGGGTCCCGGAGGCAGTGACAATGCACGGCTATGTGGGAGCCAGGCAAGCGGGGACGTGGCAGAACTGTTAGCAGGGGCCCGGAGACTGCAGCAGGCTGGTGCTCACGGCGGATCTGAGGGACGGGCGTGCATGGCAGGGCCTTGGCCATGGCCCCTGACCAACATCTGTGCAGCAAGCCCCACACTGAGCTCAGAATCCGGGCGGAGAGGGAGCCACAGATACAGTGAGGCCGAGGCACACACGGCCGGGCCTGCACACTCGAGCCCAGCAGGAACCGTTGGGTCTCGGGAGGAGGCAGCCGAAGGCAAGAGGATCTGCAGAGCAGTGAGGGGCAGAGGACACAGGGACCAGATGGGTCTCCCAGGCCAGGTGAGCTCAGAATGGCCCTTCCCAGCCCCTCTAGGGGATAGGTTGGGGCCAGTAGCTGACTGGGCCCAGGAGTGGCCCACCCTGGAACCAAAGGCAAGGCCAAAACCTGGGCCTGCCTCTTCAGTCCATAAAACTGGCGCCCCTGGGGTGAAGCTTGGGATCCAGAAGCTATTCCAGGAGGAGGGAAGGACCTCGGTTTCTCCCGGGCCACATGGGTAGGAAGGTCCTCAGGATCCAGCATCAGTCCTATGGCCGCAGTGCGATGTCGTCGCCTGTGATCACGGCTGCCTGGCGCCCCCTGCCGGCCCCACCTCAGCCCTTCCCCGCAGGCCTGGCCAGGGCAGCCCAGCGGACCTGATGTTCCCGGGCACCTCGAGGCCCCAGAGCTGGTGACCACACGCTTGCTCGCCCATCTCCCTAGAGTTCTGCTGTGCAGCCGCCACCCCCCGCCCCAGCCCCACAGCTCTCAGCTGTCCGGCTCCAGCGTCCACTCTGACAGCCACTGCAGGCAGGGGCCCTGCTGTGCCTCAGTCTCAGGGGGCTTGGTGGGGGGTGGAGGGGGCCGGCCAGGCCCAGGCAGGAGTGTGGAGGGGCTGCTTGGCCTGGGGCCCCTGTCCTCAGGGTCAGGGTCAGGGGTGGCCCGTAAGGCCTGCACAAGCTGGTCCAGCGGCTGCAGCAGGGTGTGGGGGCTCCAGCAGGCGTCCAGGGAGGGCAGGAAGGGGTCAGGCGTGCAGACCTCTACACACTCGGCGTCTGTGGGGATGCGCAGGTAGAAAGCATGCAACATCATTCTGAACGGTCGGTCCTCCTGGCCTGAGGGCTCTCCGTAGGTCAGGTCGCCCACCACGGGGTGGCCCAGGGCACTGCAGTGCACACGCAGCTGGTGTGTCCGGCCTGCAAGGTGAGTGTGCCGCTGGATCAAGCGGGGGGCGGGGCTGCTCCACACGGACCTCCCTGACCAGGCCCCACCTCCTGTCATGACCCCACTGCAGCCTTGGAGCAGCCCCTGGGGGTGGAACTCTCCCTGTCCCCTGCCATGGGCGAGGACATCAGTGTTCGGGACAGGAGCCTGCATTCAGGTCACCACTGATGAGGACAAGGCCAAAGTGGCACTTGGTCCTGGAGAATCCAGGCCAGTCAGACCCCCCAGGACTCAGGAGCCAGCAGGGACCCTGTGTCAGAGAAGAAGCTGAGATGCCGCAGAACGTAGAGTTAAGAACACAGGAGTGCTTGTTGCCAACTCTGCCTTGATGCTCAGGGTGGCCCAACACTGGCTACGTGGCCCCGTGTCTGATTTTCTTCTGTCACCACCAGGACACCGCCCACCCCAGACACTGCCAACCCCAGACACACCCGTGAGTGGCTTCAGCAGCACTTTGGAGACAGGATCGCCTGCGTACAGCCCATGTTCCAGAACCACGAGCTCTGTGAGGCTTGGCTTTGGGTTCTCACAACCTGGGGCGCAGATGGCATGTGTGAGGTCAGCGGGACCAGCCCAGGGCCCAGGCTCACCCACCCTAACCCACGATGCCCGCCCAGTTGGTCCCTGCCTGCCCAGGCCCACCCCAACCCACAATGCCTGCCCAGTTGGTCCCTGCCTGCCGCACCCTGCGTGCCCTCGATGCACATGGTGTGGGCCCGGCCTTCCGTGCCGTTCCTGCCGATGGCATGGCTGATGGTCACCCGGCTCTCCTGGATGTGCCCCCGCAGCTGCAGGACAAGGGGAGTCACACAGTTCACGGGGCAGCCCACCACTGCTGGGGAGCCCACCTAACACCAGGCAGCCATGGAGAGCTTGGTGGGAGGCTCTGAGCCAGGGCCTGCCCAAGTGGGGTGGGAGTCCTGAGTCCCCATGCCCCACCCCAGAACTGACCAGGTCTTACCAGTGCCAGGTAAGCCTTGGTCACGCGCCGCTCCTTGAAGCACCTGTATGCGCTGCCAGCGGCTGCCTTGTTTAGGGCCACACACAGTGCCCCGCTGGTGGAGAAATCCAGCTGGTGGCAGAACCTGGGGTGGGGCAGAGTCCAGCGTCTGAGCCACTTTCCTCCACAGACGCTGCAGTGGGGCTGTGGCCGCCCGGCCTACCTGAACCCGTAGCAGGTGTCCGGGTCGGCCAGCTCCGGGAAGCGGTGCCGAAGCTGCTTTTGTAGCGTCAGAGTCTCCCGCCACGCCTTGCTGTCAATGCGAACGTCCCAGTGCTTGTTGACCACCAGGAAGTCGCGGCTCCGGTACACGATGGACAGGTTCTCCACGCTGCCCGGCTCCATGGCCGGCCTGCCGAGCCACGCGTGGGTGCGTGTGCTGTGAGCACGTGGGGGGCGCCCAGCCCAGCAGACAGAGGTCCCCGCACCCCCTCACCCGGGCTCCGGTGCGAAGCCACAAGCCAGGTGCGCAGCCCTACTATGCACCTGCTTCCTCAGTCCCCAAGATCAGGCCGGGGCGTCAGCTGGGGGATCAGGGAATCAGCCTGTTCCCGGCTGACATGCCTGACCCAAGCCTGGAGAAACAGCCCGTTCCGAGCCTGCCCCACAGAGCCTCCCCAAAGACCCTCCCCTCCAGGGGATGCACATGACGGCCTCTGCCCGACGGTGGGGGCGGGGAGGGGCAGCAGCACTCCCGGGGCCCGGCAAGCAGGTCTGCCTGGGGCGCGGGGCAGGGCTGGGGCCTCCTTGCTCCCCGCAGCCCGCGCAGAC